AAGCCCTCCAAACTTTTTCTACTCCAGGCGCTGTGAGCTTCGCTTTCTTGGTGGTGGCACACTGTTGTCGTCTTCTTCCTGAGCATTCCCCCGTCCCGGGCCCGAAGAACCAGCCCCCTCAACCGGAAGCATGCCAAAGCTCCCAGTCCCGTGTAGCACACCACTTTTCGAGGGACAGCTTCCTTTGATGGACTCAAAAATCGGGGTTGTCGTATGTTTGGGGGGGCACAAGATAGGTGCCCGGTACCCCGTTTTTTTGGAAGATGCCCCTTTTTTTGGGCGGGAGACCTCGTTTCGGACTTTTCCGGACCTTGGAGATCTTGCCACTTCAGCTGAGCCCTTTATGGGGCCCTTTAACCCCAAAGTCTCAGTGTATCTCAGTGTGTTCCTGTGGACTCCTTGGACATTCCCGACTCCAAGCTTCTGTGTTTCGTTTCGTATTTGTTTCGAGACACAGCAGTGGAACGTGTCTTTCTTTCCCATCTGTTGAAAGCTTTGCTTGTTGGTGTTGCTATGGTCATGTCTCACGGAATTCACGCTTCTGTTGGTAGCTGCTTCTGGGCCGTGATGGTATATGACATGTCATGCCATCTGCGGGTGGGGAGGATGTGCCGCTGCCCAACCACGGCGTCGCGTACGTGCAGATGGGTGCTGTGCCTGGGGGCCTACTCGCCGATGTTGGACAGATGCTGAAGCTTCTGCAAAGGTTCCGCATAGAGATGTCGACGACCATGTAGGCCTTTCAGTAAACTCCAAAAAGTTGGAACATCTTTACCCCTACCCGAAAAGGTGTACTAAAGGGAATCCCAGCTCTAATCATCCTTAACCACTGTTCCAACATTCTGGAGTTTGCTGTAATATTTTCGGATCTCCCTCAGCTACTCCCACCCCTCCCAAATCGTTGCCTCTGCAAAGCCGAGGCCTCCAAAGCCCACCGCCAACCCGCTGGCCTCCGCGCGCCTGATGGCGCTGAAACAGGCGGGGTAGCCGGGCACTTTGAGGTCGCTACGGGGGTCGGAGCGGGGTTGCAAGCTTTGAGCCGAAGTCCGACTTGCATCTGCCATCCAGGCAGAGGCGCAGCTTGAGCAGCAGGAGGCCAGGGAACCATGTGCCCTCAAGATCTCTCAAGCCTCAAGCCACTGGCAAGCTCTGCATTCGCGGTGCTGTTGCTGTTGCCCTCAGCCCTGGCAGCACAACGAGCCCTCAAAATTGGCAAGCTAAATCGTGAGCTTCCGATCTGTCCTTTCCTGGCAGGCGAGCATTCACCAAGAGGCACCGCGGAGGGCAGCATGTTTCCTGAGCAGCACGGGGCAGCAACGGGTTGGGAGGGATCAGGACCAGGTATGAGTGTGTCCAGTCGTTTGTCAGGTGCTGCAGCTTCGACGAGAGGAGGAGCTTGTCGAACAGGCTGACCGCCCATACCAAAGATCTTCCCAGAAGCATCGAAGATCGTTCGACGAGACTCTTCTTAGGGACTTCACACAAACAAGTGCCTTGCCTTCCTTGGTCTGAAGTATGATGAAGTATGATGATGTATGCGTGAATCTGCTCGAGGCGCCGGCGGCGCCGATGCCATCCTTTGCGGGAGCGCCAGTGATGCAGGTCAATCAGGTCCCGGGGTCGGTTTCATGAACCACGTAGTGATTGACATCCGAGCGATCTTGTGAAAGAGAGAGGATAGAGAGAAGAGTTCCGTGGTGGTGTTATGGGCTCTTCGGCTCTTGGGGTGCAGGGTGAAGGAGTGCAGGGAGAACCTGGTGCCCGAGTCTGCCCGCTCGCCAAACGAAAAGCAGTAAAGCAAACTCTCAGAAGCCAGGCAACCAGGCAATTGAGCTTTGCAAGTTTGATGGTATAACGAATGAGCAGGTGGTTCTACATTCTCTAGGGTTGACGGATGAAGCTTAAAGTTTGTCGTGACCTTTGCTGTGCTTTGGTTGTCACAGTGCACGATGCCCCGCACCAAGCTTCGTTTACATGGTGCAGGCATGGCCGACAGTCCCACAGGCCACGCCTGCAGCGATGACACAGACGCAGGCGCGGTTTTACCCTGCCGGCGCTTCACTCTACCATGTCTTTTTCGTAGTGATGGGACACCTTGCCACATTGGCTTGCTCCGCCCATTGGTTTGAACCCACAAGCTCCTTTCTTTTCTCCACGTTTCTGTCATGACATGCTCGGTGTTCCTGTCAATTTAGCCCTGCACGGCTTGGATGTCCTGCCTGGTAGTTTTGGCCAGGTTGCGGTTGCAAGCGGGGTAGCGAGTATGTTACTGTGTGGACATTGGTCGGCGACGTCACGATTCTATATAGAGCAAAGTGGCAACAACTTTCGTTTCCGCTTCCCACAGCTCGGTGCGCAGCATACCTTGTCAACATGGTGTTGCAGGGCTTATGGGATTAGGAAAACTGAGCATGGGCTTCCGGGGGCTTTGGCCAAGGCGTGGCCGACAGTGCCACAAGCGCCGATGGCCATGTCACAGCAGGCCATGGTCCATGATGTCCATGGCTTCAACGCTGTGTACCCAAACCGCAATCAACAATGTCAATCGCAGTCCAGGCAACTTGCAACGGTGAATGAAGTATAGTTAGTAGAGTGAAGCTCTCGTCATAGATGTCGCTGCGGGATCATGTAGCACCTTCAGTTGCAGTGGTTCCGATCTGACATGAGCTTGGGAGGCCGTGTTTGGTTTTTGCTCTTGTGGTCGCTGCCGTCGTTCTCGTCGTTCTTGTGGTGATAGTACTGTGATAGTTGTAGCTGTTGAGGCTGTTGCTGCTATTCTTGCTGAATTTGGTGGTCGTGGTGGTGTTGGTGCGGGTCTCAGCCTTCCACACGCAAACTCGCCCCCCGAAGCCTGACAAGGCCGTGCCCTCGATGGCGGCATGGCCCTGGGCAGCTCCGGTAAGGAGCCCAGAGTTTAGGGCTTAGGGCTTACGGGTTATATATTTAGGGGTTATGTAGGAACTATGTAGGTTTTTGGGGGCTACATAAGGTAGGTAGAGGGGTTTTTGCGCATTTCTTGTGGTGGCCGTCCGCTGTCGATCTTGGTCCCCCGTCCTGTGGTCCTCCAGTCTTGGAGTTGGTTTTAATACCAGCCTTCTTGCCACCCTTTGTACTGCCAGTAGCATCTACAAGCAACTGGAGCATGACCCCTTGTACCCTTGCTGTTGTAGGCGTCTTCTTCTCTTCTCTCGTGCTGCACACAAAAACTCCCACGCATCACATATTACGATGAGCATGACTTGATAAACTGTTCCTTGGTGATGTTTTTCCGTGGCAAAGCCCGTCCGCCGCTTTCAAGTCTCAATGCAACCCCCCTTCTGTTCAAGATCCGCAATTTGGTGTGCGATTGCAGAAGAGTGATCACGCCATGCCTGCCCTCCGTCATTTGCTCTATGGTTTTTGCTTACTTCGTACTTTGCCAGTGTCACTCACTCGCGCTAGTTCATCATCTCACTTTGTGGGGGGCGGCTTTGCCAACAGGGCCTACCACTTCGTTGGCTGCAGGTCGCAAGAGAAGGGCAGGGCAAGGCCTTAGGTTTGCGGCGTGAAAGAAGGCCGTAACTGTTCTGGACCTTTGCTTAGGGATGTTCATGTCACCTATTTTTGGGAATCAACGTTTAGAGTTTTGTTTTGTCTTCCTTTCTGGCATGACGTTTGCTCTGTTGTGGATAGAGCGATTAGGAATGAACCTGGCAGGTGCAAGTGGTGGGAGGGGATCTGGACGAAGCTAACCTTGTCAAGCCAAGCCCAGCCAAACGGCTCGTTTTCTTTGGCGCTCTTGTCATGTGCCATACATGGTCTCATTGATACCTTTGAAGGCATCGATAAGCCCAAGTAGGTTCTATTGAGGCATCAGAAGCCCTGTTGAGCTTTGTTGTTTGCACGGCTCTGGCATTCCAAGGCGCAAGGTTACGGCGCTTACATGCGGCTTGGTCGCATCTCCTAAAAGGGCCAGATGGGATGAAAAAGAAGCTGTCCTTGCCACATCCTTGCCACCTTTGGGCGGGAACCCCGAACAAAAAGTCCCAAATCCTACTATGATCCACGAAGGATGGGCACCACTAAACCCGGAAAATTTTCAACTCCTCAGCTTCAGTGCCACCGGCTCAGGTCGCCCTTTCAGATGGGCGGGTGGCGCTGAAACTGCCTGCGTCAGTGAGCGCAAGCTTAGGGTGCAGGGTGAAAGATTTTAGTGTCAGTTCAATGTCCTACAAGATAAGGAACTCCCCACGCGGCTTATTGCAGGTTTGGGAGAATCAGTCCTTTCGAGTCCCGACAGCTTGTGCAACCCCTTTGCTCGGGATGAAAAGCGAGAACTCGTTCGGTGCTGTTGTCAAGGTGTTTGTTTTGTATGCCCGGGCGGGGTGAACACTGATCATAGGGCAGATGGCCAGAGTTGTGCCACAGTCGGGGTTGCTTTCTATGGCCGTGGGCGCAAGGATACCCTCGCAAGTTCCTTTGCGGGTAGAGGATAAACTCAGGTGGCGGGGCTACCGTAAACCTGACACTCCAAATCCCTGAAACTCGAAAGCCGAAACTCTGAACTATTAACCCTGCGCCGACGCGCGCCCCAACGCTTTTCCCGATGTTTCTCAGAGCAGCTAGCGCATGGCACGCATGCTGAGCCCTAAGTTCTCAACCCGAAGTCCCAAAAGGAAAAAGTCCGAAACCCAAGCATGTGTGGCTTGAGCTCCCGAAGCCCTACAACCCCAAACCCACCAAATAGGACAAGCATGGCAACCCCACAAGCCATAAAATCCCACACCTCCATGCTATTGCCAAAACAACCCTTGCACTGCAAATGGTGCCACGAGTGTGAGCGATTAATTGGTGCTACAGGGCCACCTTGCCAGGCCAAAGCCCCAAGTTCTGACCTGCGCAGCCTTTTCCCCCTTCTGCTAATAGTCCTTACTAGGGCCACTAGGGATTATAGTACCCCCCCCGATGATAATCCCATTTCAGGGCTGTTAGTATAAGGGGGAACATCCCAAGCCGTGGAGGTGATCAAGGAGAAGGTGAAGTACAACGATGTTGTTAGTTTCGAGGATGTCCGGGCCTCAGGCGCACACCCCCGTGAGGTCTTCAGCTCTGGCCCTCCTGTGGTTGAAATGCCCTTATCTCCACCCCCCCCCCCCAACATGGGTTGAAGGATTTCAGTCACATCGGCAGTGTAGGCTTGCAAAATTCTCGCTGGAGGTTCGGTGTCGAACTTCAGCGAGTCATTTTTCATTCCAGCCGTCGACGGCTGAAGTATGTATCACGACTGGGCATAGCTACATAATTGCCTTAATTGTGCAAGTGTTCTAGTATTGTCGGAGCAACCGCGCATGCCCAGCTGTCCAATTCGGCGTGGGCCCATCTTCCGTGACTGAGGAAGAGACGCTGAAGCGGATTCATCTCAACTACAGATTGCTGTATCTCAAGGCAAGACGGGCCGGCCAGGGCGGGGGTGGTTCAAGATCTGCCAAATTAAACAAAAGGTCCAACGTATGCTTCTTCCGAGTACCGGCAGTAGCTGGTCGACACGTTGCCAAGTGCAGTGCAGGACATAGTTTTGCCTCGGCAGCTTGATGACGCCCGCAGCTTACAGATCCTCGTGCGCAGCATCTGCCATCATACACTACGCTTGTCTGTGATAGTGCCGTAGTGGGGACCTCCACATTTATGGGCATCCCGACTGTAAGCCCCAAAAAAGTCCCAGAAGCCATGGTAGGCCTCGAAGCCCCGAGAGCTTTCAAAAGCCACAAGACGCTGCATCCTTCAGGGGGCCTTCGCTTCCTTGCAGCAGCTGATCCACTCGAATCTCACAGTCCTGGGCTCTGTTTTTTTTTTCGTGTCTTTGCACCTTTGGGGGGTTTAGGGCCCTTTTGCTCTCCCTGACTTCTTCTGAGCTCTTGTGATGGAGGGGGTGCACCAGTCATTCCTTTGTGCCTTCTTGCATGTTGTGACCCTTACTGTTGCCCTTCAGTTTGTGCCTGCTCACACACGCAGGGTCTTGGCCACTCGTGTAGCACAGAGGCGCAGCCGTTTCGAGTCCCCAAGTTCAAGATCTCCCCATCCTTCCCCCAGCCTGCCAACATGCGCGAGCTCGTGCACGTCCAGGGCTGCTTGTGGCCAGTTTTTAGCATTCGCTTTCGCTGTTTTTCTTGCAGTTCCAGGTGATAAGAAGGGGCGCCTTGATGCTTCTGGCTTTCCATGGGTTGCTGGTCAAAACAGATGGTCCAATCAAAGTACGTTCTCCAAAGAAGAAGCTTCCAATCGACACAATGCTTCCTTTGTACTTTGCACTGTTGAGCTTGGGACGGATGCAATAGAGGCATGGAGGGAGGCATGGAGGGAGGAATGTATGGGGAGGCATGAGGGGGAGGAAGGGGGGAGGGAGGCAGCGAGGAGGAGGCGGAGGACTGCAGCCCCAAACCCGAAACACACCCCGCCCCCCCCCCCCCCCCCCCCCCCCCGTCGGAAAACCTAACCCTCCACTGCTTCTCTACGCTCCAAGCCGTCTCCGCCGTGTTGGGTTTCCACTTCTTCCGTGCCGTGGCTTGGATGCCACTAGGGCCAGCACTGAGCTTACCTGTGTCCCTGCTCGTGCGTGCGGGACACATACTCTGTACCCTTGCGCGACCGTCGGCGGGCATCTGGACTCTCTGCCCGGTTCGGAGTCACTACGTCTGGAAGTTTCACAGGGACAAAAGATTCAAGAAGTCATCTTCGCAACCGCCACTTCGGTGTTCTGGATGGAAAGCTCAGTATCTATGCTCCGTACCATGTCCATTTCTCCACTCACGGTCTGGCGGGTCAAGCCACAGCCTGGGCGGGAGCATCTCCGAGTTCATTCCTCGCCGGAGTTTTTGCTTCAGGGTTGTCAACTTCACTAGGTCACTGTTTGGGCCGACTTCCGCAGGCTCTTTTGGAGGTAATGATCCATCACCTCCAGCGCAGCATCCTCAGCTTAAAGACGGAAAGGCAGCAAGGAGGATTCAGTGAGGAAGGGCAAGGTAGGCAGAACGAAAGAACACGAAGCAGCAACTCCAACTCCAAAAACTAACAAGCCATGACTAGTGGAGCACAGCGCGATAGAAAAAGGAAGAAGGAAAGAAGGATAGGCAGCTCGCCCGACGCCCGGGATTTTCCTTGGCAACCTGCGCCCTGTCCTGGCTGGAGGCGTGGGATGAAACAAAATGCCCATCCGACACTGAACAAAATCTAAACCGCCAAAAAAGAGCGTTGGTTCGGTTCTTCTTCTCAAACAAGGACAATGTACTACTGCTGCCACTACCCGAGACAAACATTTTGGCACGTTTCGTGCTGCTGGCTTACTCCCATCCAAAATCTCGTCCGCTGGCTAACTCTGACAACAAAATCAATTTTTCTTTTAGGTCCTACGTGTTCAAATTTTGGGAGCCGGCTCCGTTGTCTTTGTAGGCCGCGTTGTATTTATGCTTGCTTTTGCTTCACCTCTCGCAGTCGGTGTTGGCTGCAAACAACTCTGTCTCATGTCGAGGTGGTCAGTGCGGCAATCAGATCGGAGCGAAGTTCTGGGAGGTCATTGCTGACGAACACGGCATTGACCCAACCGGAACCTATCATGGCGATTCGGACCTCCAGCTTGAGCGCAACAAGGCTTGCATGAGGTAGTTGATGAGGTGTTTCAGAAGCACCTTTGAATTCTTACAGTTACCTCTAAACTCTAAACGGCCGGCCGAATAGAAGCAGAGCGCGACGCCTTCGTGTTGCTGCCAACCAAGGCATCAATGTCTACTTCAATGAGGCCCCTGGGCTGTGGCAGTGTACGTGCATGACAGCTTTCTGTTGATTGCCGTTGTGCTGCCTCTAGCCCTCTGCATTTTTATAGGTTGGGTGCAGTTCATATGTGCATGTCGTTCTAAGGCCACTGGTGGGCGCTACGTGCCCCGTGCGATTCTCATGGACCTTGAGCCAGGTGCGCAGCCAATCTCTGCAGTTTCATTTCTTGCAACCCCAAATGTCGTGTTTGACGCAGCTGTCGCCAGGAACGATGGACAGCGTTCGAGCCGGGCCTTTCGGTCAGCTCTTCCGTCCGGACAACTTTGTGTTCGGACAGACGGGCGCCGGAAATAATTGGGCTAAAGAAACTTGGATGCATGTTGCGCATGTTTTTTTGTTGCGCATGTTTTTTGTTGCATGTCTCAACATGGTTGTGGCCATCTGCGGCCCACATCTTTAGGATCAGTGTGGTGCACTTACCAGACCTTGACCAAGGGTCACTACACGGAGGGTGCCGAGTTAATTGACTCGGTGCTCGATGTTGTGCGCAAGGAAGCAGAAGGATGCGACTGTCTTCAAGGATTTCAGCTCTGCCATTCGCTTGGCGGTGGCACTGGTGCAGGCATGGGCACGCTGCTGATTTCGAAGGTGCGTGAGGAGTGCCTGGGCTCAACGCTGGCCATCTGTTGATGTTGTTTTTTGAAATTCGCCTTTGGTGAGAGCATTGTGGTCGACTCCGCGCCATGGCTACCAAGACATGGCAGGATGTAGCAGCCCAACAACGGTGTAAGATCAACGGCTGCCCAGGTACCCTGATCGCATCATGGAGACCTTCTCCGTGATCCCTTCTCCAAAGGTGTCCGACACGGTGGTTGAGCCGTACAATGCGGTGTTGAGCTTTCACCAGCTGGTCGAGAACTCCGATGAGTCCTTCCTGTTGGATAACGAAGCTCTCTACGACATCTGCTTCAGAAGCTGGGCAGCGCTTTTCAAGAGAACGGGCAGTAATGAGAACACGCGCACGCACGCGCACACGCACGTGCACGCAAGCACGCGCATGCGCACGCGCGCATGCGCGCACGCACACGTGCACAAGCACGCGCACGCGCACGCGCACGCGCGCACGCCCGCACACCCCGCCACTCGGCGCGTGCGGTGCGCGTGCGCGTGCGCGTGCAGCGCACCGCGCACGCGCCCAGAAGCGCACCCCCGCCCCCACCCCCACCGCCACCCCCACCCCCCCCCCACCCCCACCCCCCCCCGTGCCCCCACCCCCACCCCACCCCCCCCCCACCCACCCACCCACCCACCCACCCACCCCAACACACACCCCACCCACACACACACCACAAGTGACACCCACCCACCACACCCACACCCCACACCCGACACACACACACCCACACACCACACACACACACACACACACACACACACACACACACACACACACACCCCCACACACACACAAACAACACACACACACACACACACCACACACACACACACACCCCCCACACACACAAACGACACACACACACACCACACACACATCCCACACACACACACACATCACCACACATTCACACACAACCAACACACACCCACACACACACAACACACACACACACACACACCCACCACACACACACACACACACACCACACCACACACACACACACACACACACAACACACACACACACACACACACACACACACACACACACACACACACCACACACACCCCACCACACACACACACACACCACACACACCCAACACCACACACACACAACACACCACACAACACACCACACACCACACACACACACACACAACACACACACACACCACACACACACACACACACACACACACACACACACACACACACACACACACACACACACACACACACACACACACACACACACACACACACACACACACACACCACACACACACACACCCACACACCACACACACACACACACACACACACACACACACACACACACACCACACACACACACACACACACACACACACCACACACACACACACACACACACACACACACACACACACACACACACACACACACACACACACACACACCCACACACACCACACACACACACACACACACACACACACACACCACACACACACACACACACACACACACACCCCACACACACACACACACACACACACACACACACACACACACACACACACACACACACCACACACAACACACACACACACACACACACACACACACACACACACACACACACACACACACACACACACACACACACACACACACACACACCACACACACACACACACACACACACACACACACACACACACACACACACACACACACACACACACACACACACACACACACACACACACACACACACACACACACACACACACACACAACACACACACACACACACACACACACACACACACACACACACACACACACACACACACACCACACACACACACACACACACACACCACACACACACACACACACACACACACACCACACACACACCACAGAAGTAGCAATGGTTAACAGGTGTGCAGACGTGTGCAACAAGGTTTACTAGCAGAGCCAGCTGCTGTTGCAAAAACGGCCCCCGGGAACCTTTAAAACATTGACCCACCGTACGTTGGCGACCTGACCCACTTTGGTCCTCAGCTGGCCATGTAGCGGCGTGACTTGTTTGCCTGCGCTTCCCTGGACCGCTGAAACTGGACCTGGCAAGATGCTGTGAACCTGGTTCCTTTCCCGCCCTGCACTTCTTCATGACTGGCTTCGGCCCCGCTGACCTCCGACCGCTGCTCTCCAGCAGCACCCGTGGCCCTACCGTGCCTGAGTTGCCGCAGCATATGTTCCCTGCCGTTGACGAGCAAAGCTGTGTAACGAAATTTGCAATTCACACGACCTTAAATGTGTAATACAAGGGTGCTTTTCAGACTCTCAAGTTTGGTGACTTGCCGAGACAAAACATGTTGAATAAGGTTCGCA